CAAAATATACACACTGGGTGGCTTAAACAACAGGAATTTATTTCTCACAGTTCTGGAGTCTGGGAAATCCCAGATCAAGGTGCTGGTAGACTCAGTTTCTGCTGAGGACCCTCTTCTTGGTCGATGGCCACCTTCTTGCTATGTTCTCACATGGTAAAAAGAGAGAAGGAAAGAGCGTGAGTGCACTTTGGTCCCTCTTCCTCTTCCTATAAGAATACTAATTCCAGGGCCTCCCTAGTGGTGCAGGGGGTTAAGACGCAACCTACGAAGCTGGCCGCAGTCACTGCAGCACGAGTTCGATCCCCGGCTGGCCAGGGAGTAACCCACATGGCGCAGCAGACCTCTCCTGACTCGCCCGCTGCTCCCCTCAGCAGTGCACTTCTGTCAATCTGTCTGTTCTGTTCCCCACTCTGTCTCTGGTGAATCCTCTCACTCCCCACGCTTCTGGCCTGTACCCCAGTTCTTGTATGCATAAATAAATAAAATCTTTTTTTTTTTTTAAAGAATACAGATTCCATCATGAGACTCCATCATCATGACTAACTAAATGTACATTTCTAATACCACCTTATTGGGGGTTTGGACTCCACATATGAATTTGTGAGGCACAAATGTTGGTTTATAACACATTCCTCTCTTATCCTTTCTGAGAAATCCCTGAGGAAGTGGGGACTTATGACAGACTGAGTATAACAATGCTTCTCCAGAGTCTTGAAGGAACTCACAATACTGCGTTTTTCAGTGTCTGAAGCAGGAGCATGAAACCAGTGATTGCCCTGGTGCAATCACTGACTGTGTGCTCTTAGACAATTCATTCAACTGCTCTGAACTTTGTTTCCCCCCATCTATAAAATGAGAATAATAGGGTCTCAAGAGTTGCTTTGAGGTTTCAAGAAGATAATGTAAAGGACATAGTATATTAAGTGCTCAGTAAATATTATTGGAAATATGTTAGTTAATTGCAGAGATGTCATTATGTGAAAGAAAAGTATACCTTAGACTTAGTGACAGAGGTCATTTCTATTGCTGGATGCTAGCCTCCGGAAAGTGCTAAGGGTGGTCTGATGCATTTTTGGTGAAAGCTTTGGATTGGCCATCTGAAAAAGTTTAAGTTGCTAGTCCAAATTGGGGAACAGCAGATCACAGATGGAAAAAAGTTTCACGAAATGTTTGGAGATCCCCCTTTGTAGGGAAGGGCAGTATGCAGGTGTCAGATTTGTTTGTAGGGTGGTAAGTGACGGTAGACAGATAGGCAGAGTGAACAGCCACTCGGATGACTGAAGTCTTTTTATTCAGAAATCACACTGTGATTTCCCATGGAATCATGGAAGCTGAAGGAAATGTAGAGGTTGCTTATCTGAATCTCTCACTTGACAGAAGAGAAAGTGAGATCAAAGAAATTCTATGACTTATCCATTTGATGGTGTATAGCTAGAGATGGTGCTAGGTTTTAGAATATCAATGTCAAATCAATGACATTTTTCTCTTGAACCATCTGTCTTCCCTTAACAAGTTAATAATATAAAATCAGAAATATCCTTTATATCAGGGGCTCAAGATTCTCACTAAAAGTCTGAAAATGCACTTTTTAAATACAGGAAATTATCAAGTACCTTATATGTATTAAGATGATACCTGGACTCTTAGATGTTCTAAAATTTTGTGTTTTGTGAGCAATACAGAGAGGGAGGTACCGCTGGTTCCCCATTGAAGAAACTAAAACCATAAAAGGTAAAGGGCTTTCCCAGGGTGACTTGTATCAGGAAAGTAGAATGTTAACAACTCTAATAAATTTGTTCACCTGCTGGCTAGGTCTATTTCCCTGAGAACATGTATTTTTTTTTTTTTAATTTTTTTTAATAGAGGCATGTTTTATTTATTTATTTATTTGTTTGTTTGTTTTGTTTATACATACACTGGGTATAGTCAGAAGCGTGGGAGGGTGAGAGAATTCACCAGAGCCAGAGCAGGGAGCAGAGCAGGCAGAAGGACCGAAATGCACTGCTGAGGGGAGCAGCGGGCAGCAGGAGAGGTCTGGGCGCCATGTGGGACCCTCCTCCGGTGGCCGGGGAGCAGCAGGGGATCGAACCGGCGCCGCATAGGCCGCGGGCAGCTTCGCAACCCAGCGCTCAACCGCTGCGCCACCAGGGAGGCCCAACATGTATTTTTTTTTAATAGTGTATTCTTCACTAGATAAAGTGCTGCATGTAAATATTAATAGTGGTTCTCAAGCCGGCAGAAATGATTCTTTAAGGCACAGTTTATTTTAAAAGAAAAATCAAAAATCTCTCCTTAGATTTGTGCTAAATCTAAAGAGATAACAAAAGCTCTCAATTTAGCATTTGATATTTTGTTAAAACTCTTTAACATTTATGAAAGCTTCATGCAGTTTTGTTCAAGTTATATAAACTAGAAATATTAAATATATGTTTATAGGATTTATATCTGCCTTAAAAATACAGGCTCATTGTAAAAAAAAATTGAGGAATTTCAATAGGTGCAAAGAATAGAAAGAAAATCAAGTGGAAAGAAGAGTTCCTATATACTCCCTTATACACAAGTTTCCCCTGTTTTTTTTTTTTTAAGATTTATTTGTTTATGCATATAAGAACTGGGGTCCAGGCCAGAGGCGCAGGGGGTGAGAGGATTCACCAGAGACAGAATAGGGGACAGAACAGGCAGATCAACTGAAATATACTGCTGAGGGGAGCAGAGGGTGAGACAGGAGAGGTCTGCTGTGCCATGTGGTTTAGCTCCCTGGCAAGGGATCTACTAGTGCTTCAGTGGCTGTGGATAGCTTCATAGTGCTGAGATTTAACCCCTTGCACCACCAGGGAGGCCCCTCTCCTGTTATTGACATCATATATTTGTGTAGTACACTGTTATAATTGATGAATCAATCTTGATCAATAATATGATGAAAGAGTGCATGAGAGTTTACTCTTTCTCTTGTATATTCTCTGGGTTTTGGCAAATGCAAATGACATACATCCACTATCGGCGTATCACACAGAAGAGCTTTTTCACTATTTAAAAAGTATATATAGGGCCTCCCTGGTGGCGCAGTGGTTGAGCGCTGGGTTGTGAAACTGCCCGCGGCCTCCGTGGCGCCGGTTCGATCCCCGGCTGCTCCCTGGCCACCAGAGGAGGGTCCCACATGGCACGCAGACCTCTCCTGCCGCCCGCTGCTCCCCTCAGCAGTGTACTTCGGTCCTTCTGCCTGCTCTGCTCCCCGCTCTGGCTCTGGTGAATTCTCTCACCCTCCCGCGCTTCTGACTGTACTCAGTGCATGTATAAACAAAACAAACAAACATAAATAAATAAATAAAACATGCCTCTATAAAAAAATTTTAAAAAATAAAAAATAAAAAGTATATATAAAGTATTTATTTCATATAAAAATATATATTTTGACTTTTCACTGGATAGTTTAGTACTTTTTTTAATTAATTTTTTTAAAGATTTTTATTTATTTATCACACAAGAGCTGGGGTACAGGCCAGAGATGCTGGGGGTAAGAGGATTCACCATAGACAGAGTGGTGAACAGAACAGGCTGACTGACCGAAACACACTGCTGAGGGGAGCAGCAGGCAAGACGGGAGAGATCTGCTGCACCATGTGGGTTGCTCCCTGGCCTGGCAGGGATCAAACTTGTGCTACAGAGGCTACAGAGGCTGCGGACTGCTTCATAGTGTGGCGCTTAACCCCTTGCGCCACCAGGGAGGCCCTAGTTTAGTACTTTTATACACAATTTGCAGCAACATGGATAGAACTGGGATTATGCTTAGCGAAATAAACCAGAAAGAAAAAGAAAAATAAGGGATGGTCTCACTCATAGCAGGAATTTAGAAAACCTAAATAAGGGACCAAGAAAAGACTAATTATAATAAAGTAAAAATCAAAATCAACAAGCAACTATGAACCAGAAACACAATTAGGGGTGGGGGGGAGAAGGGAGTAGGATCAAAATAAGGGGGAGTGGGAATTGTATGGGGACTATAACCAAGATGAAAATGCATACGTTGTGCAAAAATGAAAAAGATGTAAAAATATATAAAATTAAAAAAAAGTTTTACAGGTTTTGTTATAAAAAATAAAATAAAAATAATGGTCTTCATTCATCTTTGGTTGTAATAGTGCTGGTACCTAACCACTCAAATCAACCATCTAAAAAAGACACTTTTAGAAAGAATACATGTTTATTATGTTTATTTTATGAATTCCATTAGTTGCCTATCAGGAAACAATCACGGAATGTTTGAGGCCCAGATTTTAAAGCTGAAGAGTTTGCGCTTCGCTTCTGTGGTTTTAATGTGAATTAATGATTAGACCTTGAGCCAGTAGGAAAGCTGCTATTTCTTTGATTGGATTCCCTGAAACAGTCCACCTAAAACTTGTCCTCGGCCCTGGAGAAAACTAGCAGGCTAAAAAACCCCTGGCCTCCTGTTTCTTTTGCCATTTAAAGACAGCCATGATGCCTTCCCCAGGGGTGAACGCCTCTCCCAGGCACAGGTGGGGCGAGGAGGCAGTGGGGGCCGGTTGCCCAGGCGACGCGGCCGTTCTTCCCGCCTCCAGCAAAGCTGGGGTACGGGTTGATCGCGAGGGGAGAGCAGCGTTCAGGGGGTGCCGGGCTGAGGTCGGTGTATGGGGCAGCTGAGGGTAGGTGGGGGTGAGGAGGTGCGGGTCGTGTAGCTGAGGAGAGGTGAGCGGGCGAGGGAGGGGGGCGAGCGTCGCGGGGCCAGGGTCGGGAGGGGCTATCCGGGCGGGGATGGGGGTGGGTTTGGGGAATGGTTGCTGGAGCGCAGGTAGCGGGGTTTGGGTCTAGTGGTCTGGGGAGCGCGGGCCGGGGGCGTGGCCTGGGGGGGTGTTTGGAGCACCGGGATGGGGGCGTGGCCGGGGCCGGGTGGGGGCGTGGCCGGGGCCGGGTGGGGGCGTGGCCTAGGGGAGCCGGGCGGCCGCGGCGCGGGCGCGGATTGTGCCGCGCGCCCTCTCTGGCGGCTGCTCCTGGCGCGGCTTACCCTGCGGCCGCTCACCGGAGCTGAGGCACCTCGGAGAATCAAGCGTGCTCAGAGCTGCGCGGGACCCGGCCCCGCGCTGGGTGGTGGGGACCTCTTGGATGCGCTGATTTTGGAGGCGCCTCTGAAGTGGGAGCCGCGCGAGGTGAGGTTGCGCCCGGGGCCAGCAGCTCTGCGGGGCGCGCGCGGGGTGCGGCGCGGTGATCCCGGGCGCGGAGCTGGGAACCGTGGGAGGGGAGTGAGCGCCGAGCTCCAGCTTTGGTAGCTTGAGGATGCCGGGCTCACTTCTGTGCAATCATTGGCGCTTTCGGGGCTGCCCACCTGTTGGTTTTCCGAGGCGCTGGCTCCCCGCGCGCCGGCTGGCCGGAGCTGCGCTGCCCCCGGGGAGGGCATGCGGGCGGCGCTCCTGGCAAAGGCCGTCGCGGACGCTGCCCGTCCAGGGATTACCCTGAAACTTTACCCCGCGCCGCCGACTCGCCGGGCCCCGCCTGCGAGGTGGCGGCGGGAGCGCGGACAAAGGTTCGGGGAGCCTGGTGCGGCGCTTGCAGGCGCTGCTCCCTCAGGCGCCGGGACCCGCGCGGCCGGCTCCTGCCCCGGCGGCCACCCGGGAGACCGCGAGGGGATGTGGTTGGCGAATGCAGCTTCAAAAGCAAGTTTCTCCCCAGGTCCCAACTGGGACTGCTTTGGCTGGAAAGGCTGGCACCTGGTGTCTGCCGTGTCTGATTGGAGGAATGTTGCTACAGTTGGGTTGGTTCCATTTCTTTGGACTAGGTGGGGTAATTGACACGCTAGCCCCGGGGAGGCTGAAGCCAGCGCTGCCGCCGACGTCCCGGGGAACTCAGGTGACCTGTGCTGGCGGGCCACCCATCTGACTGCGCCGAGTTACAGAGCCCGGGCAAAGCTCCCTCCCTCCCAACTGAGAAAAAACAAACCAACAAAATCTTCTCCGGCAGTTGCTTCCCAGATTAAGATAATAATTTTGAAAAACAGAGCAATAATTTTAATTTATTTAGCACTTGTTACTGACTGTCCACCTTCATTTATCATCTGCACTCCCTTCCAAGTTATTCTCTGCGGTTCACTTCATGTTCCGTGTTGTTTGGTGTTTTCTTTCCTATTAACCCCTCCAGCTCTTTCAGTTCTTTGCTCTCCTTTGCTAACAGAAATTTCACTCCCTTGTACTTCCCCACCTTCCCTAACATGCTTCTTTTCTCTTTATGCACCCCTCCCCCACCTCCCAAAATCCCTCTCTGCATTGTTCTCTGGGTGCCTGCTAATTATGCACCCTTCCATGTGCTGCTGAACCTTGTCCTCTGCCCCTCCCCATCTTTAGAGTTCTGTGTGGCTGTTCCTTATTATTCAGTATTTTAATTTTTATCTTCCTCCTTTGTCCCCCCAAATTTGCCATCTTCCTCCCACCCAGCTGCATGCTCTCCTTTTTTATTTGTGCTCCTATGCTTGTGTGGGTGTCTGTTCTTTCCCCAGTTTCTCCCACATTGTGCTTTCTTCCCTTTTACCTACTTCTCCCTGACAAGTGCTTTTTCCAGTTGCAGCCTGTACATGCCTTCACAGCACACCTTATTTCCATTCCTTTGGCTGTGATCTTTCATACGCCATCACCATCCCCTGGTACCTTTTCCTCTTTTTCAACCAATCCTCCATTACCTTTTGGACATTTTTATTTCAGAATGTCTGAAAGTGTTAGGAGGATACTGCTTGCAATTGTGTCTCCCCAGGAAGGTTCTGTATTTCAGAACCTTCCTAACTACTCCTGTTCCTGCTTGTTTTTGTAGTAGCATATACACAATTCTTGAATAACCTTAATACTGATATTGTATGAATTGATAAGGCAGCATTTATTGAACACTAAGTAGGTGCCAAGCACTCTTGTAAGGGCTCTACATAATGACTCGTTAGTGCTCACATCCCTGTAATGTGGGTGCCGTTGCTGTATCCATTTTACAGATGAGAAAAAGGAGGCTCAGAGAAGTTGAGGTACAGGTCCAGTTTCTCATGGCCGTGTCATGGTGGAGCCCCTCTTCTCACCAGCTTTTTTAGCTTCCATGCCTAATGACCTTTTGAACTCAGACATTGGCTTGGATTCTGCTTTGGAAATGAGGTCGTTATTTGCACATTTTATTTAGTCTGCGGTTTATACAAGTTGAGGGTTTGCGTTCTGTACCTGCAGAAAAGTTCATGTAAAACAGCTGATGACCTCTGGCACTTAGGAAGCCTGGAGACACTGCTTGAGCTGACTGTCAGTGCGTGCTCACTTCAGCCTGCTTTCTTGAAGAGAATGCACTGGCCTGTTTAGCTATAGGAAGGCCAGAAGAAGGCTTCATTTAAAAAAATAAGCATTACCAACCATCCTCTTGTGCATTGAGAGTTCAATTTCTCTTTAGCTGGTCAGACCTTTAGGGTCCCCGATAGTCATGAGTCTTGTTTCATTATATAACCCTAAAGCTTTGTTCGAATGTTTCCTTGTTTTTACTTTTCTGAAAGTGGGAATCCAGCATTTCTACCTGTGTGGACACCAAAGCAGAATGTTGGTCAAGTTTGATACCTTAATAAGGGGAAGGGACCTTACGTTCCAGAGATGAGGAAACTAGCCCAGAGGAATAAAATGACATCCCCAAAGGGTAAGAGTAGGGCAGTAGAGGAGGCCTTAGATCCCAGGCCCCTGAACCCTGGCCCAGGGCTCTTGAAGCTGGCACTACAGCTCGGTGGGTTGACCTCTCTGCTTTCTGCTCAAAGCCAGGCAACAGTCCATCCTTTCCTGCGCTGGAGACATTGAAAGATTCATTTAGAATGGAAATTGTCAGTGGCTTTCCAAAGCTTTCTCTTTTGTCGGAAAACTAAACATTTAAAAAATGTTTGCTTTTGAGACATGTAATGGCATAGATAGGATTATTAAAATCACAGAAGTATGAAATCAGATGTTTTAGAAGGAAATATTTTTGTTATTTCAAAAGCACAAGGAAAGAACAGTAAATGTGCATTGCTTTCTAGAGGCAACTCGTATATGGCAATTTGAAAATCAGTATCTAGAATATTTAATTATATTTTTCTTTTGCAGAGGAAAATACATTAGTACAAAATGATGACATGATTTTCTTTCTGTGCCAGAAATAAAATAGTAGTTTAGGGGGAAAGCTTGTCAAGTTAGTGTCTGTTTCTGTGTAGGCCTCTGCCTTACCCACCCCCTCCTCTTGGACTTAGGACTCCACCTGCCCTCCTCATTCCCAGCTCTGCTTCTTCCTGTCTAGTTAATCCCTTTCTCCAGGAACCCTCAGGGAACTTGGAGGGTATTGTTTACTCTGATGCTAAGCCTATTCCCTGTCAGCCTTTCTTAACAGAATTAAACCTTAATCCCCTGAGGTATAAATTGTGTGTAATGACTTCTCTGATGCATCTAGTATGAGATGGGTGGCTATAATGCCATCTTTGGGAGAATTTAGGAAGCATCTCAAAACATTGAATTCTGTGATTCAGATGAAGAGTGTTATAACTGAAAAGCAAATGTAAATTTTACTGTTCCCCTTTCACAGTTCAAGCAGTGAAAGTGCAGGGGAGTGGCAAAGTGCCATAGTAATTGGCAAGATTGAGATTTGAATCCAGGGCTGCCTGGCTCAGGAGATCCACAGATATATTTCCGCATGTCTTCTCTGTAACTGTCACTCCCTGAGGCAGCCACGTGTCCAAGGAGCGTTTTACAAACTAGATGGTTCCTGCTTGTTGAAGCTCAAAAGGACAGAGAGGAGAAGCTAGAGCATGGTGAGCAGGAGGGCTCACAGAAGTTTCAGGACCACCCCTCTGTCTCATTTTGGGTGTGGATGGCACTTTCTGATGTTCCTGAGAGAACCCCTGGAGCCGTGAGCTGTGGCAATGTCAGGAATGGAAAGAATGGTATATATTTCTTTTACATGATTGTAGCAATTTGCTGCGGTTAGGATGTCAATATTGCTGGACACAGGTAATGACCTGTCCTGTGAGCGTAATGTTCAAATGTCTTGGACATAGCTCATGTCACCAGAACCTTAAAGAACCTGCATTCTTGGTCAGAAATAACCTCTTCCTGTTTGCCTGTAGCAGGACTTCTCTGTGTCATTGTGGAAGAAATTGAGAGTTCAGCGTTGTAATTTCACAGACTGTGTGCCTGACTCAAAGTATCTTCCTCTTTAGCCTGCTAGATCTGGGCTGGAATCTCTCTCTCTCCCCCCCCCCCCCCAATCATTCTCACCCTCTGGGTTCAGCCACAGGACTGGGAGCTCCTGAATGGCTAGAGGACTCTGAATGGCTAATCTGAGAGTGGGAGGGGCCAGTCTTTCCCTCAGTCCAGTTAACTCTAAGATAGAGTTTGTTTTCAAAGATTAGCAAGCTTTCCCTGGAGAAAAATAGAACACAGGTCTGAAATGACCAGAGTGGAAAGTGGGTGGAAGGAGACAGCCTGCAGGAAATTGGACAGCTGGGATCTTTGCTCCCTGTCTAGGGCAGGCAAGCCCAGGGTTTTTTTTACTTCCAGCACAGGGGCCATGAGGCCTGGAATGAGATGTGTTCCTGGTATTTGGACTTTGATCACAACCTTTCATAGGAATTATTGTTTTATATAATAGGAAAAGTGATCAATTTTGTACTTGAATATAAATGACAATTCAGTCACATTAAACAAGCTTCTGAGGGCAGATCTTAATATATAGCCACTATGTATGATATATATGGAGAAAGATAAGTCTTAAGAGATAGACAAGTCTTGATTCCTAAAACATCTAGCATGTGTAATTTGAAACCTATCCTCTTCCCAGTTTGTGTGTTGGAACTCTGGCTCAAAAAACAAACAAACAAAAAACCAGCCTCTACTGCAGAAATGTGCTACATTTCTACTCATTTGGAGCATGGAGTGCCCACAGGTGCACATCTATTATGCACCATTTTTTTGTGCAATGTAATGCTAGATGCTGAAGATGGTAAGACTCATCAGAAACAGCCCCTTTCCCTGAAAGGTCACACACTTGTCATGTGGGAGAGGTAGAGTACAAACAGATTGGTGCAGTGATCAGCTTCTGCAGAGGGAGTATATGAGAGGCCTCCAATCCAGGAAGGCTTCCTGGAGGAGGAGTTAACGTACAGCCTGGGCTCAATGGTAAC